TTCTAATTTATTTAGCTTTATTGTATTAATTTTTTCTAATTTTTTAAACTTTATTGTATAGATATTTTGTTTTATTCTTTTCATTTGTATAGATGTTATTATTATTTTTATTTTATAGGCGATTTTCATATTGTTTCTTTTTCCTACAGATGTGTTTTTATTATTTTATATTATTTTTTATTTCTATTGATATTTTTCATTATTACTTTATTTTATTTTACTCTATAGACTTTTTATATTTTTTGTTTTATTGTATAGATGCTATTCTTGTGAGTTTGAAAACACATAAGAAAAATATCTATACAGTACAACAAGAAAAATAAAAGGCCTATAGAGTAAAATAAAATAAAGTAATAATGAAAAATATCAATAAAAAAATATAAGATAAAATAATAAAAACACATCTGTAGGAAAAAGAAACAATAAGAAAATCACCTATAAAATGAAAATAATAACAACATCTATAAATAATTATTGTGTACGTCTTTTTTTGTATTATTATGTATATATTTTATTATTAAATAAAGCTTGATTTTTAGTAAATTCTTATTTCAAATTGACAAGTAACGTTCATCGTCAAGCGATTCACTTAGCCCTAGACTGATGGAATACATGTACAGATGTAATAGCATAAAAAGCTACATTAAAAAAGTAATACGCAAAATTGATAATATGACCAGTATATCTTAGACGAGCAGAAAACTTAATTTGGAGAATTCTCATTCTAAGTAAAGATAATGCATTTTACAAATTTAATTTTTTTTGTCGTTTTTGTTTTATTTTTTTTTTGCTTTTATAAATATAAATAGCGCCCAATAAGATTAGACAAGAATACGATTTTTTTATTCCCTAGACTGAAAAGCTAGGGTCTGGAAACCTAAATTTTCTGTGTTTGGATCGGTGACGTCTGTGTTTGCATCGGTGACGTCTGTGTTTGGATTCGTGACATCTTTGTTTGAATCGGTCGCAGAGGTTGATTGTGCATTTTGATCTGGTCTTCGAGGTAAATTTGGCCTTTTGGTGGATTTTCTAGCTACATGCTCGATTCTATTGTTTGCCATTTTTTTCTAGTTAATTTTCAAAATATCGTAAGCTTTTTCTGTCTTTTAAATATCAGTCTTCCCTGGTCTGATTTCAGTTTTCGTGTTTTATCGCGCTTTTTTCTTAATTTCACTTTCAAGTATCTCATCATAAATAGTTTAGTTTTCTTTGAGTTTGTTTACTTGAATACAATATTGTGGCGAAATAACGGTGCCAACTCGTCGCCCACCGATCTTAATTCTTCCAGTAACATTCACGATTATATGAAAATGGATATCCGCTTGTCGAATTCCACCAACCTAATGCGAGCTTTTCGTGCCCGTCGTGCTCTCGTTGAGACTGCTGAACAAAAAGAGAGTCGCCTGGCTATTGACAGACAATACAGAAAACAGCGATTGATCGATTTTGGTGTCAAAAAAAAACAGTCGAAGAGAAGCAAACGCATCTTATATCACGTAGCCAATACGAAGAGAAACGTCTAGCCGATAAACGTGCAAAAGAAAACGCAAAGGAGAGAGAAGAACGTCTTACAGCCAAACGTGCTAAAGAAGTGAACCGCCCACACAACTTACGAGCGCACGAGACTGATGCGGAGCGAAATACTAGATTAGAACCTGATCGTGATCAACATCGGTAAGACTCAAAGTTTCTTTGTTTTTTCTACCAAACATTCCTTTCTTTTCGACTCATAGGGCGAAAACTCGTGCGAAAAATGATTCAAATATGGCAACTGACAGAAATTGCGCTGTATGCGGCTATAAAATCCTGACTCAAAATTGGTCACAATTAACTATCAGATCGTTTCCGAACCTGCATCTTCTTCGACCTCAGAGCGACGAGATATCGAATTCTGTTTTGAAAATTAATTTTTCACGATTTACCAGTAAGGATCTTTATTGATCGGAAATCATCATTTTGAAACGTTTTCTAACTCAAGATGGGCTATGTTCGACGAATGTTAGAAACTTTCTCTGGTTTCGATGTTCTCGTGAATGAAGCACTGTTAGGACGATGCGGGATCGATACGAAAACTGGATTGATAGTTGTGTACCGTGGTTCCCAGACCTCTTTACAAAACAATGCTACGCCTGCGTCGGCTTTGAGCCGCCTATACTCTCCATATGATGTTTTGGATGAAGAATAACTTTTGTACCGTATATAAAATTGACGTCGGTTAATGTTTTTAACCTGTTCTAACATAAAGACGAAACATCTCCGTATTTAAATCTAAATTCCTTTTCAGTTGGTCACTTAATAATATCCTAACTATGAACGGTAGAAAGACTTCATGGTTTCCATGAATGCCATCAGTGCTCAAAAACCGAGCTATGAAAGCTTAGTAATTAGTTCTTTTTAAATTTCTTGTTTCAAAATCTCCAGTTCTTTGGTCATTCAAATATATTCAACATTCAACAGTCTACGGTAAAGTGAATCTGCATTCGATGAATATTATTTCTTTTTTTACAACTTTTAGATATTTATGTTTCTGTTCTTTGTAGTTCTGACTTCTTAACTTCAAATTGCTTTTATTTTGAACTGATTTCTAATTATGAAGTTTAAAAACACTCGGCTTTTCTCTTGTAGCACATCTTTGGATTTCAGCGAGAGATGTACCCTTTGATAGTCTCATTTACATATCTAGTCACATCACATTTCATCGCCTTTTAGTATAGGGATGAGTGAATCGGAATCCGATGAACGTTACTTGTAGGTAATATTAATAGAAAACATGCAATGTCCTATAATTAGCCTACAAACAATGACATTTCTATCTTACCAGATTATATCTATTCAATTATGGGTGAGTATAAGTCTAGTTTTTTCTTTGCCTATATCCAAATCTACACACCATCAGTCTTCGTCACAGTCCGTGAGAAACTCCGTTTGTACGTCTGTCATGACGTATGATGATGAGGAAAAAGTATTTTTGTGTGTCTGTTACCATCCATGAATCGTACCAGTCAGTGGTAGAGTCCTGCGCGGGTTTGATTTTTCGAACCCGCACCCGACCCGAGGTCTTTTAGTCGTACCCGTGCCCGACGCGACCCGACAAGGCTCAACCCGAGCCCGACCCGACCCGACAAGGTTCAACCCGAGCCCGACCCGACCCGAGGATAGTTGGACCCGAGCCCGACCCGACCCGAGGATAGTTGAATCCGAACCCGACCCGACCCGAGAGATTTAAATTCGTTTATTTTATAAAGATACATCAGTTTATTGCAATATTAAGCATAAAAAATGATAGAAGCTTTATAGTAATAAAAAACACATAGATAATCATGATTGCAAAAAAAACCATCACAACTTAGTATGATCACATTTCCATTCAAATACATACATTTCAAACAGTTAAGATCGATAATGATCATAACAATAAGTATCGTACAAATATCAATAATACATCTTCAATTTATACAAAACAACTGAAAAATTTCGTAAAAAAATAAGAGAGTCAAGTGATTCTGGTGATAATTGTTGACATCGAACTTCAAGAATCTGACCTGTTTTACTGAATATTCTTTCAGATACAGCAGAGCCTGCAGGTACTGCTAAGAGAGAACATGCCAATAATGATAACCTAAGGAGAATCAAATTTAAATTAATTTATTGAATTTTTCTTGTGCATTTAAGGAGAATGATATAGTAATCAAGAAACTCACTTTTTGTATATGATAGAGTGTTTTCGCCACCGTTGTAAAAGTGATTCTCCTTTTGGGTATGATATTTTCGCTTTAATATAATCATCTACTTTATCCATCGGCCTCTTATCATCATCGTCTGATGATGAGTCTACAAATGCACTAAAAGACTTGAGAACATCGTGTACAGTGTCTATTTTAATACATTTTTGATGTGTTGAGGAATTGTTGATGGTACCTGTCTCTGTTGTTTCTTCATCGACTTGTTGATCTATACCTAGAGTTTTTAAAAGTATTCGTATATTTTTAATAACAGCATTAGGCCTTGTCTCCACTAGAAAAATAATACGGTATTAACTTCGTATTAAAATGATGCGTGTCTACACTTGGAAAGTTAATGCATCAATCAGAATCTAGAACAAAATGTCGCTTTCATTAATTCAATTGGAGCACATGAACCTAATGAGACTTTGATTGGTGCATTAACTTTAATTCGCTTTCGAAAGCGCATTAAATTTAATGCGCTTTTGAAAGTGCATTAAATGCGAATTAAATTTTCCACGAATCAAGTTTCTTAATTCGGTATTAAATTTTCTGGTGGAGACAAGGCCTTACGTTCTGATTTCATTAGACTCTGAGAATCATTGACCAATAGAATTGAGTTTTATTATTCTGTGAGTTTAAGACGAACGAAAATAGAGGGCAGAAGCATACATACGCAAAAAAATCTGACCCGATAGAAACCCGACATTTTTTAATTTCAAACCCACACCCGACCCGACCCGACGGCTGACAGACCCGTACCCGACCCGACCCGATAAGATTGAACCCAAGCCCGCCCGCACCCGACAAGATTGAACCCGAACCCGCCCGCACCCGCGGGTCGGGCTCGGGTGCGGGTCGGGTCGGGTCGGGTTGCAGTACTCTAGTCAGTGGTTCTTCGAAAAAATATGCAAGGAGATTCTCCTCGAGTTTTGAATTTATTCTCAATAAAAAAGACTAATAGTGTTGTCTTCTTTTGAAAGATCCTACCCTGTCGGATGGAGTAGGTTCCTTCTAATAATCGTACAATAGAATATTTCTTGTGTAGTGCCCTATGATTTTAAAGATGCAACAATTTTCGAGCACATATTTAAAGAAAGCAATAACTTCAAAAAAAAACACATGCAAATTTATTTTTATGCAAATAACTGTATATATTTATAATCAGATTTATACAATAGTTAATTACTGATTAGAAAAATTTTACAGCCTAAAACTCAAATCAAGTGTAAACCTTCAAGAAATGCAACAGCATTTACTTTATTTTTTTATAAATTATTAATAATCCATTTTTGAACGAAATGGTACTGATTTAGAATAGTTTTCTTGAGTTTGTTCATAATCCGTGACTATTTTTCTAATAATTTCTTTAGGTGTAACAAACCAAATAAAATCTTTATATTCATCAGGAACATTCAATGGTGGATCAGTTCGACAATCAACATTTTTATAAACATATTTTGGTATATTTTTTACCATTGATTTAGCTTCTTCAATTGGATCATCATCTGACGATGAATTTGTTTTCAAGCGAGGAGCATTTGAATTCTATAAGAAGAAAAAAAATATATAAACTTATTCATAAAAAAGTCGAATTTAATTACCGAAACTTCTGTTGGATTTTGTCTAAATTTCATTTCTTTTGTATTATTTTTATAAGTAACCGTTTGAAGTTTATGATATTCATAAAAATTATTTTTCGATTGCATAGTACGAGGATACCAAACAGCCGTATCTATATTATAAGTATACTGGAACGATAAAAACAAAAACAGTTAGTTTTTTCTAAATTGAAATTATTGCAAAACAATTTTTACTAATGGTAAAAATTTCCATCCATCATTTGCAATAAATTCAATTGCATTTAAAATATAATCAACTTCTTCATTACTTGCAAAATATGCTAAATTAAATCGAGTAAAACCAAATTTCATTAATTCAATTTTAGGAAATCCATTAAGTCGAACACTAAAATTTATATCAATCATTTCTAAAATTTATTTAGTAAAACTTACTGTTCATCTGTTGTAATAAATTTTATATAAGTTTCTGCTGTTTGATCATCAATATTAAGTAGATCCTAAAGTAACAACAATTTTTCTAGGATAAAAATATTCAACACGATGTAGTTGTTGTTGCTCATTAAAGAGATATTGTTTTATTCAATCTCTTTTGAGATACTATTGATATACAGTCTGTGATTATATATCAAGTTTTGTTGCTATGCTTGTCTTTGATGATCTGTAGTAGTCTTTAGTAATGTTAATGATCGTTCCCAACCAGAGACTGAAATATAAAGGAATTTTCTACTTTCAGCCTCTCCTTGAGTAAAAGCTTTTTTCGATTTGGAATTTCGTTTTGATTTGACTTAATATTTCAGGTTCTGGTTTTTGTTGATAAATGCCCAAAAAATATAGAATAGAAAATAATCAATTCATTTTCCAGTCTTAGTTGTAAAAGATCTATAGACCATTATGGCTTTACAACATAAATTAAATTTTCGAGTTCTAGCTTCGAGAACATGTTTAAAAACAAGCTATAAATGAAAATGATGAATGATCAATAAATATTGAGACACTTTTATTTTCGTTTTTTTTAAATTAGAAACAAACTCCAAAGATTTCATTCCATTTTCAAATGACATATCATTCTACATCCTGTAAAACTGTTGACTTTATTTTCCACATAGGTTTCTCTTATCGTAGAAAAATTCAAAAGATTAGCAACTACGTAGTTGCCTGACTACAATCTTCAATGTTTTCGCTGAACATCAATCGGTTTCTGCAAGCTTATGTCTTGTGAAGTCGTATCATAATTTGAAAATATTTCGTATCAATAAATTTTACATTCTACATATCTAGCATCTTCACATGGTTTATGCGGAAGAAATTTATTTAAGACTTAAACTGATCAAAGAAAATACTTAGATTGGACTACAATAAGAACGCACATTGTCAGAGGCTGACTAAAAGAGAAAAGAATTTTTGCAAGCTTCTCGAATGCTTTCTTGAAAAAACTTATTAACACATATGAACATATTCACAATGTAAAAACAAAGTCAAAATGTTCCATTCTGTATGGATCACCCATAACAAATTGATTATGCCATGTTATCAATCACAAAAAGATGTCTCAATTGAAATATGCAAGTTGTCATTAAAAATGTAAACAGAATTGATAGTATTTCAATGTATTGGGAACTACTAGAGAATATGAGAAATAGATAGAAATTAACAAAAGTAAAAAATATTCCATGAATCAGTTATTTTTCTCCTCGATACTTTCAGAACTATCTATCATGAAAATATCAAATGGTTATCACGTGTATACGTTCTCGTTATGAATATTTTCATTATATAATTTTCTCATGGAGGACACTTAGGAATTCAGTTGTAAACCATCACGTTCCGATCTCTGTTTCCAAGCGACGTCATCTATATTTCACAAAAAACTCTTCCTACATCTTACTTACTAAAACATAAGGTCCAGCACAAGAACATCCTGATCGTACTTGAATACCAAATAAATCATTTAATAATGTACAAATAAAATTATGATGTAAATATTTATGAAAAAATGGCACATAAATACGAAATGAAAATATTGCTAATCGATGAACAGTTGATGATCCAAGTACAAATAATGTTTGATGATTTCGAAATCGTTCAAAGAATTTTGTAACTAATGATTTTTCACGTGCACTAATTGTATTATAACCAACAGATTCTTTTAAATGAAAAACTAAACCAGCTCGAATAGCACCAAGAATATCCGGTGTTCCACCTTCTTCACGTGTTTCAATATCTTGTACATATTCAATATGCTTTCGAGTTACAAAATTAACTGTACCACCTCCAGCATTGGATGGAACTTCATTAGTAAAAAGTTTTTTCTTAGCAATTAAAATACC